AAAAAAAAAAAAAAAATGATCATTTTTTTCGTTCCATTCCACGCATAATCCGCGATAATAATTTTGACCCCCTTCGAAACCATTCTCATCTACATATACAGTTTTACATTTGACCGATTTCCGGCACGATTCCGGTGTCTCCGTTCAATTCTCTCGACCAGTTACATATTTTTTCACGGCACGAAAGCCGTCGGTGGAAAGTTGGGAAGTTTTCTTGGGCGTGAAGTCAGCAAATGGAAAAGTTTCACCGCGTGGAATCGGTGGCGAATTGAGAAATCGAGCGAACTTTCGAGGGATGCCGATAGTGTTACACTCCGTTACTCGTTGAACGAAGAAAATGCGGAGGAGGATTAACGGTGACGTTCGAATAAACGCTCGACTTCTCATATTGTTCACTGCATTGTGAATCTTTATCAAAGATGACAATATTAATTATTTGTATTTTAATAAACAAAGATAGAAGATATAACTTCGACGAAGCAAAATTTGAAAGTTTGAAGATTGAAGTTTAGATGGGTGTCTGGGATTAATCGAGAATCGCGGAATGCCTGTTATTCGTGACAAATTTACGTGGCGAGTTTCGAATTCTGGTATCCTGCATAGTGTCTTCGATAAATCATCTGGTTGGTACGCGTGCGGAATTTTGCTAGTCTAAAATAGGAAGAGAAAAAGAGAGGATGGAACAGAATGCGTGAGAGAAATAGAGAAAAGATTTCTAAACATATACCGATGATTGATCTTAAATGTGTGTAAATGAGATATATTTGGAAAGAGTATACGAGGATAGGTAATTAAGGCTCTATTAAACGATTCCAATTGATTAATGTAAAATATTATTTGTTTATATTTCTAATAAAATACCGAACATGTTGTACGACGATGATTCGTATATATTTTTACCTTTGACCGTTTTTTTATCGTCATTATACGTGTTTATTTGTGTCGGTATTTCTAATGGAACCTTTCAATGTTTTTTAATTTATATTTTATACGTTATACATTCTTTATATATATATAAATATAGGGCAGTGATTTTTTAAATCCAGATTTCTACATGTAAATTATAGAAAGTAATAGATAATTAATGTTCCAAATAATTTTAAATATTATACTTTTTATTATATAGGGAGATATATAGATAGGATTTTAAAAATTTTTCAAAAGGAAAGTGGAATAAAATTCTTTTCACTCGTATAATTAAATATTATTCGATGCATTTCGTATCTTCACTTTGAAACAAGAATGATAAAGAGAAATATATACGTTCAAAAATTTTACCAATTTAATTCTTATGTGCCGTAAAATAAAAAAGATAGAAAATCACTGGCCTAAAAATTTTCTAAGCTTTGATGTTTCATATAAAATTAGAAATTCATTGCATGAATTTTTTAATGAAATTATAACAACGCATCGAATTAAAACATCCTCGTGACGATTTAATTTCTAATTTTAGCAAATTGTAAATCGTCCATTTATATTTACGTGCAATTTTTTAAACAAGACTGGTCATCGTTCTTATCGTTATTTAATCCTACACCGATATCGATCGATTTCGATTGGCTCGCAGTAAAATTGAAGTGTACCAAAGCCAATTTACGCGGCACGTTCAACGTTGAGATTTTCTTTTCGAGTGAAATAACCTCGAATAATGGTTTTAAAAACATTTCTGGTGATAACAAACGCGTTATCAAGGTAAACGAACTTCGTTTGACGGATCGGGAACGAGAGGTCATTGTTTTTCGATATCTCGTATATTTGCTTCCTCCTTTTTTTCACGATATCTCTCTTTTTTTTTTTTTTCTCGATATCTCCGCGAATCTAAAATGAATACCTCTTGAAACTTCGAAGAATGGAAAGAGAAGAGAAGCCACTGTAAATTTTATCTCGTTTCAAATTTCGACGAAACACGGGGAAATTTAATTTGCAAATATACGGCTATTGACTCTGTAACAGTAAATTTTAATCCAACGAACGAAATTAACGGATAATTTGATGAATCTGATAGCAAATTTTTGGTTGACAGAGTGTATTGATGCTTTTTAATTAGATTCTCGAGAGGAAATTGAATTTTATATCGCGAAAAATGTGAATAATTCAACATTTTTAACATTGATTGTACAGAATAAACGAATAAACGAATGTTAAAAAGAAAAAAAGAAAGATATCAAGGACATTCCAAGGTCATTATCGACCTTGATTTCATAAAACTCGACTCTATCGTTTGATGAGTATCAATGCCGAGTATAGCTCGATAAACTATTGTAAGCAACATGCTATTTTCTCGGTACATATTGAAAGTAGTACCAGACAAAGGCGAGTAAATAACGCATTGATTTTAGTGTAAATGTTTGAACAGATTTCACTGATATGCATTCTTATTTCTTAAAACTTGAACGACTAAACTGACGGTTTCAAGGCGAACTGTACATTCGATATTTTTTTTTTTCGACGTGATTTTGTTATAACATCGTTTTAAAAATGTATTTGCTTTGGAATAACTTTTGAAACAATTATTGAATTATTCTCGGAAACGATGCTCCGTTTCTTATTTAAAATTTAATGTAACCTTCATTTTATTATACTATGTTTCCTTTTAAATTTTTTACGTTCAGATTCGTATTATTATTTCCCTCGAGTTATTTTTTACTCAATCATTTAAAAATTTATTAAAAATTACGATAGAATTGGTTAATATATCACTTTTAATACGCTCAATTTTTTTTTATAAATTTTTATTTCTCGGGACAAGAAGGAGATTGAGATACAGTTAATAGAGCTAAAAATTCTCATATATTCAAAGAGAGACCGCAGAGACAAACCCGATGTATAATCCAAAGACGTTCCAGTTTCATTTACGTAATGTCTCTCGTTAGTTCTCGAAGGGAATTATCATGTTTCAACATCAGACAAGGTTATTAAATATATTATATAGCATTTCTATATCGAAATGAATCACGGTACTGCTATAGATAATCTGGATCAAGGTGAATCAAAAATCTGAAAGAATATAACACTTGAAAGAATGTAATAGCCATGTTTAACTTGTTTCTTCACGTTTAAGTAGAATCTCATCTCGGGAAACAATCTTATAATATATTCGAGTCTACGTGGTCACGTTTGACTATCGCGATAATTTATTTTAAAATTGGAAAATAAGTCATAAAGTTGTTACCGTTTCTACGTGATGAAGGAAATTCATGAATTTCAAAGAGAGGACATTTTATTCGTTTCAATCTTATTAAAATTTGCATAGTATCTTTTTTTTTTATCTATCTTGTAATATAGTTTATTTAAATTTCGCGCGAGAAGAAATTTCTTCTCCTCGCTTTCACGTTATTTCACCCGCCTCGGAACACGTATCGAGAATAATGAAGGTTAATTAGACGAGTTGACGCATCAAGCGTTAAATTAATACTAGCACGCTATCTGCAGTCTCCGGGAGAATATATTCAAACACGACAGCTGATTGCTATAAATTGGCTTCAATTTCCTTCAATTTGCAAGCAAGTAAAGAAAAAAAAAAATGATATACCGTGGGCGGCATCTGCCGACTGGACAAACTCATGTGTGGATAAAGTAGGCATTGACGTAGTTGACTAGTTTCCCTTCCTCCATTTTTCACCTAAACGTTAGTACCAAATATGTCGCCAGATGGCGCGACGATACGTCCTCTCGCGATTTGAATCCTTTCTCCAGTTCACGGTCATGCGTGTTGTTGTTCGTTATTGTGCACGTGATGTGATTGAAATTAGTTTATAATTTGTTAGTGTTATTAATTATGTGAATTCACAATATTCATATTACTTACCGAGGTAACTTTTCGCACATTCATTTATCTTATGACTCTTGATTATGGTTATATAATTTCAAATCGAATAATGAAACGTTAACCCTTGTCCGAGATAGCCATTACAAAATAGTGACGATTTATAGAACTAACTCGTATCTATCGTTTTGTTTCAGTTGCCAGATTTGAACAATCTTGATGAAAAGGTGAGTGCTATCAACGAATTCCTGTTCATCTATCACACATTAATCACGTTATCGTTTTGGTAAGTGAATATTTTTCATATAATATATATATGATCAATTTCTCTGCATAATTACTCGAGCATATTCGAGAAATTTTGTATCGCGATACTATCGAATCTCCAATTAATCTTGTCTCGAAAATGTTTTTCGACACGTATAACGAATAATATCGTGTTTGAGAGAAGTCAGTGTCAACTATTAGATATAAGATTTCACGGTGACTTAGACATTCGAGGCAGAATTAAAGAGCTACGTGCTTGGAATCGCGAATGAGGTGTTCATGGATAGATTATATTCTCGCAAAGAGACTTATATAATCCCCATGAAAAAGATACACACGAAACCATTAAGAACGTTTCGAGGCAGAAGCACGTGGCTTACGAGCCTGTTGTTAGTGCTGGTAAACATTTTCGAAAGCAATTCCCGCGTCTCTCAACCTGCGCGCGCATGTTCCTGAATTTGTTTCATGGATTATTTCACGGACATTTGAAACGAAAATACTGCATCTCATAAAAAATGGAGAATTATTACATTAACAGAGTTTTTGCTTTGGCATAATAGCATAACGTTTATATTTTTCTTTCCAGTTATTTAAGAATTTATTTAAAAAATTAAAATATCAAAATTCTTTTCTTTGAAATATTTTAATATTTATTTAAGGGTTTTTTAGGTTAAGATAGAATTAGAATTAAGATATATAATCAATTATTTAATTCAATTTTTTTAGAAATATAACTCATTTCAATATTTATAATTAATTGATCAATTAGTTAGTTTAGTTACTAATTTGATAGTAATATTTCTATTCATTCCTAGATGGATAGTTTTTATTTTGTTTTCTATCAAGTAATTAGTTAAAAAATCATATTTTATCTTATTTAAAATGTATAGGATAGAAGTATAGGATAGAAGTATAGGATAGAAGTATAGGATAAGATAGAAGACTCATTGAATTGTTTGCACAATTCATTTATTAATTAAAAGAAAAAAACTGATTATCTATAGTTATAATGGTGAATATATAAATAGAGAAGAGTTTATTTTTAATTCATTTAATTCTATTAATTAATATATCATACAAAATTTCATTTTTATTTCTTTACATGATACAAAATTAAAATGCATTATGTAATAAATTTATATCTATCTAAAATAAAAGAATTCTTGCATATAAATATAAGTTAAGCACTTTCTCTATTTACTTTTTTACCATTGTATCTATTTTGTCTTTGCATCAGCTTTGATAAAGTACAGGTGTTCTTTTATTAATTTATTAATCTCATTGATATCATGTGTGTTGTATTTATTAGCTATACATTAATATTAATGATATTTATAGTAGATACGTTTAAGTACATTATATGTAATTAGAATTAACTGGAATAATTGTGAGGTTAAATTTATCCAAGCTATACATAGTATCACGATTTATTACAAGATTAGAGCTAGGATGTTTAATTAACATATGATCCTCTTTGATCCAAACAATTTTTTATATATATTTCATTTTTTTTTATGGAATATAATCATCGATCAAGTTTTTTACTGTTTCTATCTATATTTCTTGTTTTTACCTATGACAATTATAACTCGTCATTGCATATTCAAATACTAAATCATCATGACGAATGATAATTGTCATTTGAGGCCAACAGGTTAATCACAATATAATCAATCAATTTTTACCAATTCGATTATTTATTTACTATTATTTACCGCTTATTCGAATTGCACAAGCTACGATTTTCACGATAATTTACAATTGGCCCATTATCCATGAAAATTGTCTGCGGATCGGGCAACGTAGGTGGTGCCACGCGGAAACGGATGATTAAGATAATCGATTGTGAAATTACGAGCACTCCTTCGATTGATTAGCGACACATGAGAAAGAGAGAGAGAGAAAAGAAATTCGATTTATTGTTCGATTCAATCTTCGGTTGCTATCCTTTATGGTGTATCTCTTGCGTCACCGGCCTTTCGTGTTCGAACATCGTGTTTCTCGTTCGAAATGCAATTATTTGGGTAGAGAATAAGGAACGGCCCGACAAAAGCAGAGGGAAAAATGTTTCAATCGAGTAAATTGAGCGACTACGTGACCGCC